TGATGGGAAACTGCCCTGACTGACAGGGGTTAATTGCATCTCCAGTGGTTCTATGAGAGTGGGTCAACAATGGGCAACAAAGACACAAAACCTGTCTGAAAAAGTCAAAGTTTTCCCAATGTTGTTGTTTTTTTCCCTTACAACTGCAGCGTGTGAAATTCAATTTGTGAATACACCTTAAACTAAATCAGACGAGTTTTAGTCTTCAAACTCCAACAGAAGTTGAAATACTAGGTGTGTATCATCAGCATAGAGTGCACAGAGAACACAGAGTCATGCGGACGAGGCCAAACAGAGCACCCATCTCACAGGGACCCGGCCTCTGTCCTCCTTCCCCAGTAAACACAGCTGTTTTTGGGATTAAGCCCCGAGCCCCCACCGTGGGGCCTCCCTGGGGGGCTCTCCTTCACCCCTTCTCCTCTCATCTTTTTCTCTCTCAGTGCATGACTGATGACCAGATGACATCCACACATGTCCTTCTACTGTCCATTCCACCCCCTCCGTCCACCGCCCGTTCCCTCTCTGCCTCTTCAGCCTGGGTTTGGACGTATGGAAGTTTCTTCTTCTTCGTCTTGTAGCTGTGTCATGTCTCCTCCTCTTCCTTCATTGTCTCTCACTTTTTTCCTTACTTTGACTTTCCCCATTTTTTCCACCTCTGTTTGTCTCTCTGTGAACTTTCCTACCAACACCTTCGATCTGCCAAGACGCCTGGGAGTTCACCTGGTATCAATCCATCCACACCAGATGTGATGGATGCGCTGCATGTGTGTGTGTGTGTTTGAATGGAAAGACTGCGTTTGCCATGTACACTGACCTGTGTGTGTACGGGACAACTTCTTCATTGTCTTCCTGTCTGTTCCATCTTAGTTGTATCAAAACCTTTATCACTGTAAATATATCTGTCTGACCCAGACTGAAAAACTCCAAGGATGAAGGCGTGATCTGGTACTTGTTGGCGGGAGCTAACAATGTTTATGTTGCTAAACTGCAACATAAACATTGTGAAATGCATAAATTATAAAACCAAACCTTCTGGTCTTCACCCAAATTGAAGCAGGTTTCTAAAGATATAACCTTCTTGCTGCTCCCTAGAAATTGATTTTTTGCTTGTACAACACTTTGTCTACTGTAAAAGTATGCAAGGCACCAAGCCTGTCAGGGATCTCCTAAACATTCCAACCATTCACACAATTTCACATTTCATAAATCCCCCGGCCACAGATCGGGTGTTTTGAAAAGACAACAGACAGAGTGAGAGAGAGGGAGAGAGAGGGAGAATCCCGCATGTTTGCGAAAGCTTGGACAAGTGAAAATACTTTGAATTCATGTGGAGACATTAGTCAGAGCTGGCTGTCCGGCCCTTCACGCCGCCGTTCCCATCACCAGCTGCTGAAACCCAAGCCTGAGCTCTGCTCCAGGCAACGATCAGCATTACTCACACAGTATCAAACAATGACCAAAAGCTGATCAAAGTCCAGCCACGCAGATACTGTGAGAGAGAAAACACTGAAGCAGAGCTGCTGTTCTTGACCTCACTGCCTGGGTCTGTTCCAACATTTGAATTTCCAACCAAACAGAGTCTGTCAGAAGAAGCTGCAGGTTGGTGGAGACGCTCCTCCTCGTCGTCTTCCTCCTCCTCCACTAAAACTTTTAGATTGACTATAGTGTGAACAACAGAGTCCAACAGAGATTGACATCACTTCACTAACGTCACTAACTCCAAGTCCAAAGGCAGAGCAAACAGGAGGTTAAAGCTACACTGAGGCAGAGGTGATTAACTCTGTTTACCTTACGGTGTGATCACTGCTATCTTTGTGAATCCTCTACTTAGATACTGCGCAGCCCTAGTGCCTGGTACTATGTAAACTTGGTCCTGACTACGACGCAGTAGGGAAATGAAGGAAGACAGGTGGACAGTAGACATAACAAGAAGTGATTCTGCTCAACACTGTGGGACAGACACTAAATTTAAACTTGTTTACATCTATGTTGATGTCGGATGAGAACGACCTGTGGACTTTTTTGATTTTAAAACCTCTCCTCAGCTTCCTGTCTCACTCAGACGTCAAAACCTGTCAAACTCCTACTGTCAGCCAAGTGTGAAATCTGTTGATAAAAGAGGAGGATTTTTTATCTGATTTGCAACTTTGTGCAAATAAAAGATATTTGAATCAAATTGAATCTGAATATTGTTTACACTAAAATGGGTTTGATCAATAAACACAGAGAACTGTAGTCAATGACTGTAGTCAATGATCCTAGTTTGGTCAATGCACCTTTACGGTCTTCAGCCAAGTCTTTTTTAAAATACACACTGTTGTTCAAGTCAAAATTCAGGATATAATCTCAGACGACTTTACCTGCTCTCCAACTATGTAAATCATGCAACGGTGGTAAAAGGAAACGCAAATTTTCCAACCTCACACCATAATATTTACCCAAAGTAAACTTTAATATCTCATCTTCATCGTGCCATTGGAGAGTTATTTCAGTTATCCATACGATGAGCAGTATTTTTTTTTTTAGTTTGGTCTTAGTAGCAGCCACGTTTGCACCAAGAAAATACAGAACCAGTTCCCAATGATGCGGACAGTGGATATTAATTGCTGTGGTCTAGTCTTCAGGAGACGGAGACCTGCTTCCAGTTACGGTTCGTTCTTGGAGCAGCTGTATTAAATTCATTTGAACTAATGAATTCCTTCTTACGGTTCAAATCTGGCTTCTATCACTTAGTGCAGGAAACTCAGTCGACATCCATATTCATAAGGCAGAATTACGACACATGTAAACAAACGGCATCTGTGATTCAGTTGAGCGCTGATCAGTTTAAGATGGAAGTGACATAAAAACACTCCACTCAATGCAATTTCATTTCAATTTGTTTCACACAGACACGGCCACAGGACACACTGCCTGTTACCCTGGTTATGACACGACTGCGGCTGCGGCTTTGTTGTTGTACAGGTTACGGGGGAGCTCCGGCGCTCGGCGCTCGGCCGGGGTCTCTAGGGCATGGCACACACACATGGAAACACTTTAGAGCTTCACTACACTGCAATTGGACCTATTACCATAATTACAGCTTTAAAGCTCCTGCAATTTGTATCAGGCATGCACCAGCGCAACCAGCGGGCCTTTGGCCCCGCAGAACAACGCCACCGCCTTCCTTCTCCTGCCTCCACTTTTTTTACACTTTCACCTTTGTCTCATCTGTTCTTCTACTTCACTCAAACCTCCCCCGGGTTCATCACCATTAGAGGAAATAATGAATTTCAGGAGCTCGTTGTGCACTAGAGATGACACTGGCAGCAGCAGTGGAGGTTTTAGTTTTCTTTTTTTTAATCAGTAACATCACAGTTTATTTTCCTGAAAGGATAAAGTTACTGTCAATTCCATTCTAGGCAGCAACAGTCACTGGCGCGGTTTTTGACGGACACCTAGAAACTTTCTGACAACTTTAGATATTTTTCTTCTATTTGTCAACATCCAATCCCTCAATTAAATTCTTCTCTTAAAAATATAGATAAAAGATTTAAGATCTTAAAATATGATCACCACTGTTTACTGATAATGAGAGCTACAAAGTCACTGAGCAAATACCAATAACCATAGCTCACTTCTAATGGATATTTGGCCTGATATCCAAATGGTAATGAGGGATGCAGGTGGAGCACCTGAAGGATGTCTGATATTTTTAAGTGAGCAGAACCAGAGGAGCAAAGCAGAATACCAGCATAGGCCAGTTGTGTGAAAACCAAGTGGAAACAGGGTGTGTGAAGTGAGAAGAGACAGGGCCTAGGATGAGATGTGGGAACTAGACAGGAAGTGATGTAAAGAGTTCAGGCAAGGGTTACACTGAGCTGTTGGAGCTACGGAGAAACTGGGAAAGAACAGCTATGGTTGTGGGGAAAAGGGGGACAAGGAAAGGTACTGAAAACAGTTAAAGGAATACAAAGGTTGTGGGGAAGTGGGCTGAAAAGGGTACTGAAAACAGTTAAAGGAATACAACTGCACAAGAAGTTGGACAGACCTGCTAATCACCCTAATTAAGAAAGTAAACTGGACTATTGTCAGGCTGGATGATTGACAAAGGGAGCAGTGGTGTTGGCAAAGAGGACGGCGTACAATGAGTTTTACGATGGGTTGTGCAGTAAAGAATGGGGAAACTATTTGTTTCAGTTGGCTGACCAAAGTGATTAGAACAGAAAAAAAGGTATCAATTATTTTAGTTCAACTTGATTAGACGGCAGAATGCAAGAGACAGTGAATATGTTGGACAGAGGGTGATGTAGACGGTAACCCTTTAATAATGAAGACCAAAAAAAAGTCCTAAAATGTTGTAGTCTTGTTGACAGACCCTGAAGCTAATGCTGCTGTACACTGAAATCAATGACCTTTCAACATCCTGATGAAAGACTATCAGATCAGAGAATTTCTGTTTAAGTCCCGAGCCTATACCCCGGTGGTCATTGGACTGTGTACGTGGAGCTAATATGCAGCTCTTCTTTTAACCAGTCTGCTTAGAAAACCCATTTGATTTGATCAGATTAAACAAATAGCAATCTTGCTGCAATATTTCATTCTCTGTTTGACTTTCCCTTCCAGAGAGGGAGAGATCACCAGGCGTGCTTTCCTTGGGTTTTCACAGCCTGGTTTTTGCCCAAACCAAAGCCTCTGTTACAGTGACTGAAGTGCTTCAGAGACTTCTCCTGATCTGTGGTCAGGGTTTTGGCAGACGTGACCACAATGAGATTGTTCTGCCGTCTGAAATGTGGTCTCTATTAAAACAAAGTGCAGCATGTTAATGATGTTTTAAAGTGGACCGGGAAGAATCCCCCCATGGCCTGTATGAAAACACAACTCGGAAATGTTATTTCTCTCTGATTAGATTCCAGCGCTGCAGCTACACAAACAAACAATGATGCGGTGGGTTGTAATGATGTTTGTTATGTGTGGAGGGAGAGAATAAGAGAGAGTAAGGGAGGGGCGGGGGAGGTTACACTTCACTTGTCTTTGGACCAACACCAAACCAAATCCGCAACCAGCAGAAGGCCAAGCAGCATCCTTACTAAATGACAGTTGCATGTAGGCCCAAGCAGACCAATCATCTACTGAGACTAATGCTGGTGCTGGCAGCCCCTCTGTGGCCCCGTTAAACACAGCCTTCGGTCTGGTATGCATAAACACATCAAAATACTCAAATTATCCTGTACACTTGCCTCTGTAGCTTCCTCATCAATAGGTCTGTACTGCAGGGCGCCGGCGTTTACGGACAAGTTGCAGCTTTAAAATCAAAGCTTACAGTACTATGATTAAATGTGAGTAAATGACGGCGTCGAGAGAGTTTTGGATACACTATAAGTTTTTGTTCTTATTGAGATCCAAATACAACATGTTTTGGCCTCATGCTAAAGTCCATTAAGATAATTAGCCATTTATAATCATTGGAAATCGAGCAGATTTATTTTTACTTGGCCGTTTATTCCCTTTGATTCAGATTCTTCCCAAACCTAACAAACATACCGAACACCAGTGGTAGTTTACAGCTGGATGAGTAGAGCCTGTGGTAGAATGTCCCAACCGCTGGTCAGTGGCGAGTAACAACAACCAGTGGTGAAACCTCTCCAGTTGAGTGAAAGTTCCAAATAATATTGACTACAGCCAACACAATCCCAGAATGCACTTCCTGCAGAAAAGGTTGCTTGTTTTCCTTTTAGGCATTTCTGTGAATTCCTTAGCAGTAGTGGTAGAGGTTTTGTTTTCTTCAGTCAGTTGTGGCCCTGGACTCTTAGTCTTCAACAGTAGCTTATCACTTCGCAACTACAGAGAAACATGATTACTAAATAACGCGTAACGCGTAACGCGTAAATAAAGATGATCACGGCGCTACCAAACTGTCACGCTGTCAAGAAAGCTAAAATACGCCATTGTGGCGTTGAGTTTACCGCCATGTTGGCATCAGTCAAAAATGTTTCCCATCCAAAGCTGGTTTTTCGTGCAGATACGTATGTACCAGATACATGACTTCCTCATCTAGCTTTTCTCAACATTTTCCCTGAAACTAGGACAAACACTTACCCTGTAAGACCTCGGGTTGTCCACACCTCGTAGAGCACCAGTGGGATGTTGCCACTTGCAGTGGAAGAGCCGACCTGGAAAGTCAGACACAGAGACAGAGCAGACAGAGTTGTGATGATGGATGGATGGATCAACTCCTTCATTTCTTACCCCTCCTGATAGACAGCTGTGTAAGCACAGGCAACATCTACAACAGCACACATTCCCAACTCACAGCAGGCCAGGTGCCCACTCAGAAAACCCTTTAAAACGTCATTCTTGTCTTCTACTACATACGTCAGTTTACAGAGTACGGCCTGGGGTTGGCAGGAGAGTTTTTAATTCCATCAGTGTAAAGTGTCAGAGTTGCATGTTTTAGTCAGGTAGGGTAAAGAGAGAGTGGGTTGTGACAGGAGGAAGGAAAGGGAAAAGAAAATGAAAAAAGATTGATCCAGGTCTGTGTTGTTGTATCAGGTTCTTAAGCAGTCCTGGGTTTTAAGACTATGAACGATCTCTGAGCTCTGGGACCTTCTGCATGGAAGCTGAAAAAACAAAAAAAACAACAAGTGCACAACTATAGCAGAAGGAAGGAACTTGGAGTGGTGAGAAAAAAATGTTTGTAAACTATTTGAAAAATTACTCATTAGTATCTCCACAAATGGAAAAGGGTGCTCCTCTAAAATGATATAGAGCAGGCACGACCAATGAGGAGACTGTGATTTAACGGTGGATCACAAAGGGAGTGCTGGTAGATCATGAAAATATATATATATTTTTAATTTTATATGTATGTATTTTTATATATAGTTATTATATACTATTTATTTTTACATATATATTTCAATCCCATGTAATTTATCAATTTCAATCATTTTGACCCTAATGCTAATAATTGTTAAAGTTTTTGTAAGACATATTTTTGGTCCCCCTTGTTGAACATGGGAGTTGGTACATAGTCCTACGGTGTCGGACATTTTTTAATTCAAGACACATCTGGACTGCAGACGGGCAATTCTACAAACCCAGGCATTTTTAGTTTGTGAAGAACGAGGCCTGACATTTTCCATGGAGACACACGTCTCTATAAAAATTCAACATTAACCTCAGGACTTTCAAGAGAAGTACATGAAGAAACATCTGTCAGTTCGTACACCAATGTTACACATTTAAAAATAAACACCTAGAGGCAGCAGTAAAATCATTTTGTGTTTTCTGCTTTATATACAACCTCAATTTTATTTTGTCTTTCCGGTTAGTGTAGGACAGAGAGGGTTTAGAAATAGTTTTACAAGGAAACCAGCATTAAAGGCTGAGGTGTAATATTATACTACGAAAAGATAATGATATAGAGGAACTGACTGCATTTCCAGGATATGGTTTACTAGACAAACAGGAAATGGTTTGTGGCATCTGCTAAAAAAACTGTGACTGAGGATCTCAAGAACAAGACTCCCACATTTCTCCTTTGCAAATAAGACTGAGGGGAACAACAGCACCCCTATTCTTGATGTTTCTGTTGGAGACAGGTGGCTGACAAATGAGCCTTCCATCTCCTCCTGACAGGTTTTTTTTTCTTTACCACCACGGAAAGAAGAGAAGGAATGGAGACGCACGGTGTCCAAAACACACTTATAAACACAGTGTGTAACGTATGGCCTCACCAAGAGAAGCAAAATCATTCTGTTCTGAGAAGTACAAACCTTTAACATGCAACAAGTAATGACTATGTCTCTCATAGACATTTACTAAAAATAAAAAACACAGCAAAAGGTTTACTTGTTTCCTGATTGGTCCAACTCCTGGTTGCTAACACCTGGTTGCTAACAAGCAAAAACAATACCCTTTGCAAAACCTTACAACAACAGCTCAGGACAAAACAATGGATGACAAATACATGATACCTGCTCATGCAGGATCTACTGTTCGTGTATCTTTACATTTACTTGTACAGTAGCAGTGTAGGAGTCGAGCAGTGCCACTGTGCTGTGCCAGGCTTGTAGCCACTGCTACAGGGAGGGCTGATGTGGCCAGAGTCAGCCCTGGAAGAGCTTCATATGTCCAGCTGTGACCTGGACGCCGGCCCTGCACCAGACCGCGCATCGCACAACACCGCTCTTTCATCCTTCCCCACTGCAGCAAAGAAAAAAACCCTTCTCCTTCCTGGGGGAAGGAAACTAATGTGACAAGCTCCAGCAGCCACAAATCCTTCCTGTCGTCCAATATAAACTATCTCCGACCCATCAACACCAGGCCTGCTCTCCCTGTCTGTCTCCATTTCACTCTCCTGCCAAGACTTGTCACATTGTGGTGCAGTGGGGAACAAGTCAAAGCTGCTGTGGGCAGGATTACTAAACAGGTTTTTAATCGTTACGTTACATCTATTTGCCAAATTACTGAAATTCCAAGGTAGATTCTCTTACTTTTTATTACATCTTTTATTGCAGAAGTCTGTTTGATATGACTAAAGTCAATCCTTATTCATCTGTATTATCTGTTTTGTTAAACAACAGTCAACCTTCTTAGGAAGACAGTACGCTTTGACTTCAATTATAACTTCTAACAAACCATACCATAACTTTTTACATCTAGAATATTTTATTTTTTATTACCATTTTAAGTTTGCAGACATTGCATTGTGTAAAGGACAAAAATTTTGGATAATCTTAGCTTGAATTTTGTTAAATTATATTCAGTTTCCTTTCTATAGTCACTAAACATTACTAATATTTTGAGTGTTTTTACAGGAAATACTATAGAATACAATACTTTGACACAGTATTTACCAAGCAGGTTATAGAGCAAGTGTTACATGCTACAACATGCTACACTCCTAACAACTTGAAATGCTCAAATGTTAAACGCCTCGCCTGTAAATGAAGTTATTCCAGCCCCACTGAATAAAATGAAGCCCTTTTTCCCCCACTGCTAACCTGTGGCAACCTGAGTGAATCAAAAAACTTGGCCTTATAAAGTAATAAGCAAACCGCACTGGCAGCACGAGCCAAGTCTTTGCTGGGGGTAAAATACAGCAGCTACATTTCAGAAAATGTTTACAGGAAGCTTTTGTTCCGAACAGTTCCACCTCCAGCCAAAGGTTTCTCTCAGAGATGAGGCCTGGCTGAGTTTCTTGTTAATTCCAGTATCTGATTAGTTAGAATGAAGGGGGAGAAGGAACACTGTGACTTCTCCAAGGACAGTAACTGTGTGTGTGTGCGTGTGTGTGAGTAATAAGCTCAGCGTTACCACACACATACACAAAAACACACAGAAACACTGAGGAAAGCCAGACTTACCGTTGGAACAAGCCGAAAGTACACGGGAAGAAGGAGAAAGATCAACACATACACAGGCTGGGTGGCTTTAAAAGATTTCAGTAAAATTATTTGATTTTTACATGACATTCTGCACATGTTGTTCTTCATGTGCCTTCTGCCAAAGCACTGAAACGTTTGACTCCAGAGAAGAGAAACATTTCAAACTTTTCAAACTTTTAAAGATAATTCAGTACCACCAAAAGGTAAGTAAGACGGTGTTTAGACAAACGACAAATTCAAGCCTGCAACAAATTCTGTGCAACTGTGGTCAAGTAACAAGTGTCGAAACCAGGGTGAGGGATGTGATGTCATCAAGAGGAAATCTTGATAAAAGAGATTGATAAAAGGCCCAATGCTACTTAAAGAATTAAGTACAACTTTGCAGAGACTTAGTGAGTGCACCTGACTGGCCGGCATCCAGTCCACATTAACAATGTCTTTCTTGTCATGTCGTAGATTTAGGATTTGAAATTAATGACACAATATAAAAGTAAATCTGACTCAGTGGTAAACCTGTCCGTGTACTGGAGGTACACTAATTTTGACATGACCTGACATGACCTGACATGACCCAACTTGGGATTAGGGGACCACATGATTACATACCTAACATCAAGTTATTAAAATTGGAACAGAGGGATCTACATTTGAGAGAAGAAATAAAAGCGAAATAAAATGAATCGACAGTATGGATGTTTGCATGTTAATTGTTAAATTAAAAACTCGATACAGGGTTTAGGACACCAATACGGTATCATAAAACAATATATTGCAATATTTCGGTGTATCGCTATTTCCTACACCTCTAATTGGCTGAGGTTATACCCATGAATCAGTAGTTTACAGTTGACGGTTTTTCACAATGCTAAGAGATACTAAACGTTAGACCTTTTCAGTGCACGGGTAGAATTTCCCAGCCCAGTCACTGAGTGGAGGAGAGGAACAATGGCTCTCTGCTTCACCTCACAGTGACAGGCAGCTTTGAGATGGAAATTCCTCAGGAGCAGCAGCAAGTCTTCCGTCCTAATGCTAACCATGCACACAAACATGTCTTTCCCAACACTGTCCATGATCTGTATCCGATGATAAATACATCTGTGCGTGTGAGAATGTTGCACACCACTGTCCCAGTTCCACCTCGGCCTTCGCCGTGCTGCGTGCCGAGGTTGTTTAAAGCCGCTCAGGTTTTGGGCCAGCGCAGTCTTTCGTCTGCGAGGCATCATAGGCTGACAGCAGTGTTTAAAAACTGTTGCCAGTACTGCGCTGTGCGCGTACGGGTGTGCGTGAGTGTGTACCTTTGCGAGCATGATCCTGGTCTTGGCCACATCGAGAGGAGTGGTAACAAAGGCTGCTATGGCACCTACAAAAAACACATATGTATGTATTACATTATAAACAATCACAGTACAAATACATAGATGAAAGCACATCTACGAAGGCAGATTTGGTAATGTATTTAATTCAAGGCTTTTTCAAGGCCTTTTTTTGGGCACAAAAACCAATTGGACCGATTCAAATTCCAAGCAACCTCCTCTTTGAGCCTCATCCTATTGATACCTTCCCCTGACCTGTAGGTTCTCGCCGCCATAAGACATGGCTGACATCTAGCAGTTGAAGAATGGAACAGAATTGTCATACACCACTGACACACTAGAGCAGAAGCCACATTTATTATTGCAAAAGTGTTGCACTCGTAGTTTGTTCTTTGCATGTTAGTCCCTACTTTACTTGAATTTTTCTCTATGTACTCTGTGAACTATCCTACTTTATCGCATAGTACTGGGACTCAAATGGGACCATAATCAGGAGACAGAAATCTGATCAGTCTCACACATTTTACATACGATCAGGCGCAAATAAAGACAAAAAAAAAAATCCACATTCAGTCGAACACACAGACAGTCCCAATCGAGCTTTGGATTTGGATTTGATCCCCCAAACACTAACTTTCCGCCCAGCTCTGAATTTGGAAGCCAGATAGACGATATGATCCAGAGGTGTCCCCGTGGACGTTCAACCCGTTTCAGTGAGAAACTGTGTGTTTGTGTGACTCTGCTATAAACATAGCAACTGTTTTGTGTAAACAGATCCATATGGGCCACCAAGGAGCTAAGTGATGTAGTCAGTGCTGAGGTGACAGGAAAACAATAGGATGAATGTGCTGTAACATGCTGTTGTGCTTTAGCAGTGAGGGCAGGCGTGATCGTTAGAGTGAAATAAATTATTTTTTTTACCTCCCACGTTAGTGGATGAAACTCAAATTTCAGCAAATATGAAAAAAAAAAGATAAAACAGACCCTCCGCTGTAGCCTGTTGACTAATCTTCCTGGAGAGCAATAAAAGGAGGAATTATCCCTATAAATCTCTGACACGGAGCGCTGAATTAGAGAATCTAAATCTGGCTGGAAATGCCATGTGATGTGATGAAGGTGAGAGGTGAAAGAGTGGGTGATGTAATCTTGTCTAGGGCTAGTGAGGTTTTTTTTTTTTACTGGCAGTTCAAACTGGGTCAGGTTTATTGTAAGTCAACACAGAGCAGCAGTGGAGATATCTGTTATAATAAAATGACCCCACTGGA